ACATATTCAGTCTATCAGTGGGAGACATTCCCTTAGCGACAAGGAAAGAGTAACCGGAAACAAAAAAGGAATGTATGTTTTATTCTCCTTTGCTTTATCTTCTCCATGTATGTTACTCTTGGGGACCTTATGCAGGGAGCGGGGCTAGAGCAGAGGATGATTTAGGAGTTCCTGGGTCCCCTGGAGAAATACCATCATATCAATTTGACTGCACCCCATCCTCCTTCCAGAATGTGCAACCTGGTGTCTAGTTAATATAATTTTAATTTACTTGAGAAGTTCTGTTCTTTAATAGTTCATTAGTACTATCTCACCCCCAACAAAGCAAGAGAAGATAATCCTTTACTTTCTCAAAAGTAATTATTACTGACATTAAAAACTAAAAAGCAAAAACACGTAAAATCAGGAGTTTCTAGACATTAAAATTTCCTAAGTAACCATCAGCCCACTTGTACCCTCTAAATTTGTTGAATTAGAACCACTCCCTCCCCCAGTCAGTAGACTCTGGTGACACAGTTACTAATGCTGCCCATCATGTAATGTGGGAGGTGGCTCAGAGATGGTACCGGTGGAACAGATGCAAGTTCAAGTATTGAGCAGGACAATTTCTCAGAGAATGTGCTATCCACTCACATTTTCATTTTCAATTTTTATTGCTTTTCTCAGATTATAAAAGTAAATGTTCATTGTAGAAAAACTCAGATCTTTCAAAAATATGTAATGCAGAAAGTGAAAGCAATCAAAATTCCATCCCTCGGAGTGAAGCGCTTCAACTGTTTCCTCTAACATTTATTTAAATTTCATTAACATTTATTTAAAACAAAATAAAACTATTGCGGTGGTCCTTTTTTCAAGCGGGATCATAGTAATGTTTAACTCAGCAACTTACTTTTCTTGCTTAAGATCTGGTTAACTAAAGAGATCCATCATATTGTTAAAAGGTTGTATAGCATTCTCTGGTATGAATGATTCAATTTAACCAGATTTCCACTAATGGAAAAATATTTTTACAATTATTTCACTCTGGTGAACTTCTTGCTCACATATCCTAGTACATAGGTGAAAGCATTTTTGCATTTAAAATCCTAGAAATGGATTTGCAGGGTCAAAGGTGCGTGTATTAACATTTTTATTAGGCTGTGCTTGAATCTTAAATCTTTAAAATTGCTGTGCAGTGTGAAACAGTACCGGCCTGATTCTTTGTCGCAAAGTCTAAACATCAGCCACTAAATCTAGTTTTAATTCCTTTTTCAGAAGTCTTTGGAGAGGACAGTTTCCTGTCATAGGCTGGCATGGAACCTCATGTGTTTTCTGTCTGTCAGCGCTACAGCTCTAACGTACGTTAAAAATATTTACTTTTGAGGAGTGAGCTTTTGGAATTTTTTTTTTCAGATGACGTTAGCTTTAGGTATCTTTTTGGAGTTTTTAGTAGACTTAAGTAAAATAGGCAAATTAAGGTAATCTATCACTCATTCTTCCTCCTTTCATTCCCTGGAGTGACTATCAGATATAGATGCTCTTCGGACAGCTGCTTAACACAGGCGCAAGAATCTGCCAATTCTCATCTATTTAGCATACAGTTACTGTTTCTAGCAGTTTTCCAGTATTTGTCACATTAAGCTTAAGTCACCATAGGTGACCATCTTAAGCAATACTTCCACTTCAAGAGAATGAAGATGACAAAATTTCAACAGTAAAAGACTGATAATGGTACCGTCCCAAGCCTCCTACTCTAAAGTGATTTTTGCTTCCTCTGGACTCAGATTTTATTTTATTTTTTATTTTTTTTTTTAAAGATTTTATTTATTCATTTGAGACACAGAGATAGAGAGAGAGAGAGAGAAAGCATGAGCAGGGAGAGAGGCAGAGGAGAGGGAGAAGCAGGCTCCCCGCTGAGCCAGGAGCCTGATGTGGGGCTCGATCCCAGGACCCTGGGATCATGACCTGAGCCAAAGGCAGACGCTTAACCATCTGAGCCATCCAGGCGCCCTGGACTCAGATTTTAAATCATCTGTCCTATTCATTAACAAGGTGATGAACTTCCTTTGTTCTTAAAAAGCCATTTCAGTGTTTATATGAATCAAATCACTAACCATATTCTCTCACCTAGATTATATGCTCCACAAGAGGAGGGATTTTGTTTGGTTCACTGATGTTTCCCCAGCATCCAGGACAGTACCTGGCACATAAAAGTTGCTTGGTACATATTTGTGGAATGAAAGATGAATTCTTTGAAGGCAGAAATCTTATATTTTGCATCTCCATAGTAAATGCCAACTTGCTGATTAAATTAAGGAAAGGATCTTCACTTAGGAACACAATTTAAGATTTTCTTAGAAGCAAAGTGTGGAGTATCCCTTGCCTAAATAATATTCAAGGTTCTTTCCAGCTCTAACTTACTATGAATCTAGTAGTTTTCAAAGAATTAGAATCCAATATAAGAAAATATATATACTACTAAAACTAGAGTGAATATAATTGGGTAAATCTTTGATTTAGAAAGCAGTGCAGTGATTTTTCTAAGTCTTCAGATCATTATAAAGATCAAATGTGGAAACTATATTGACCGCAAACTATATTCTGTAAGCGCCTTTTTGGGGAAAAAAAAAATCATGGCATTGAGTTGTTAATTGGGAATGCCTCTATAAGCATAGAAATATGTATTTAATGTTACTGTATAAGCAAGAAGGCAAAGAAAATATTTATGTACAACATTTATATTCTGGGCTATAAGAACGGTGGTATGACCCTAATGAGAGAGATATCTGCCTTCATATCCATGTCAAATGTTTAGTTATTTGAATTTAAAGTCAATAAAAATAAAAGCAGTGAAAAAGAATAAAAAAGAATCAGAGGGACAGAAAGATCCATCTAAATCTGGGGCATATTTCGAATAATATACAAGATTTTTGGAAATGAAGAAAGAAAGAGGAAAAATTTTAGAAAGTCACTCCAGAAAAAGTCCATCCTATAAAACTCATTTTAATTCTAGTCTTTCAGTACTTATTTATGTCAGACCACCTCTTAGTGGATGTTTGGTTTCCTGTGCTGAGCCTTAGAAAAATTATCTTGTGGTCAGAAAATAGCATATTCTCAAGTCGGTTGACTGAAAAGACTGTTTTTTTGGCTTACTATTTTTTACAACAAATTTTACTTTAAAAAGAGAGTGAATTAATCAGATTTGAGAACTGTAGTGGATATAGTCTGTCTGCTTAAAAAAGAAAATGAATCAGCCTGAAAGGGATTTTATATAGAACCAATTGACATGAAGAATAGGGCCTGAAATGAAAGCCAGTTTTTGATCTGCGAAAGGAAGAAAGAAAGAAAGAAAAAGAAAAGAAAATGAAAAAGAAAAGAGGAGAGAAAGCTTTAAGAATCCTTGGGTGGGGGAGGGGGAACTTCATAAAACACAGTAGTTAGAAGAAGGCGTGTGCCCAAGTTAGACCACAGAGCAAAGTCTGAACATCAACAACAGAAGCATTCTTGGGGAAAACTAATGCCAGGAGCACTCTTATGGTTAATTTACTAAAATAAAAAGGTAAACAAGTATTCATTTGTTGAAGCTCAGGACATGATAGTACACATGACAGTACACTTGTAATACCGGACCTTCAAGAAAAAGAAATCCTCAAAAAAAAAATTTTTAAAAGACAAATTATGGAAAAAAACTGTAAACTTAGAACATTTTAACTTAGGTGAGGTAGATGAAAATAGAAAACGAAGTATGAATATGGTAAGATGTTACTGCTTTCAATCATTAATGTTAGAATGTGAAAAATTGTTAGGATCATACATCTTAAGACAAATGGAAAATGGTCCTAAAAATGTACAAAAAATGAATTTTAGCGTTTAAGAAATTCCAATTAATGTGTAAAAACTCCCCTCCCAAAAATGTTCAATTAAATATTTAAGTATGACAGGCTATCTATCCTGTTTTATTATTGATATACTTGCAATATTTATAAATCTCAGGTTTAAAAAAATAAAATATGTATTATTTTTAAAAGATGCTTTTGAAGATGAAAAAAAAAGCATTCTCTGCCTACCTAAGGGCTCACGGGAAAATTGATGCAATATTCAATATCTACACCAAAACAAATATATACAAAGTTCTAAATTTCATTTTATAGAAATACCATCTATTAAAGTACAAGGTGCTTTATCTCAGTGACAGGCTTAAGCTCAGCCAGGAATCAGAAAACGTATTCCGAGTGGAGGCCCAGTTCAACTTGATCATTTCATGAACACAATAAATCATCCAAAAAGCCCACCTTAAATAGCTAAAGTAGTCATAAAAATAGGCTGATGGTTACTTTACTCCAGCGATAACATAATCCTCGGTCTTATTGTTGTGGAGCAGATGTCATTATGGGTGGGGCTGACGCGCAGAGCAGCTGAAACATTTTTGTACCACCCCCCGCACACTTCCAATGGGATAGAAGGGGCTCCAAGAAGGTAAGGGGAAAGCTCTCAACAATGAATTCCTACTAGAAATAGGGAAGTTTTGATGTGGTCGTGGTACGCATAAAGACCACAATGAGATTTTAAAAACCCCCCATGATTAACTCCTACCCTGGAAAAGAGATCGTCCCTTTCTCCCCTCCCCTGCCGACTCCTCCTTGGGACACTTGGCTGAGTCTTTCTTTCTCTCCTTCCCACGCTGAGGTGAGGCTGCACGCAAGCCAGGGACGCCTGTTTTTCTCTTCGCGCGGAGAGAACTCTGCGGGTAGGAACCCCGGGTGGCAGGAAGGGAGCGGGCGGCGATGTGGGAAGGCAAAGAAAGCTCGCCAGGGACGAGCCGGGCTGGGGTTGGAAAAAGACACGCAGGCCACCGAGGAGCCGGCCGAGGAGGCCGAGGTGACGAGGGAAATCTCCCGGCTCGGAGGTGGGACCGGACGTTTCCGGCGGGCCACAGTCGCTCTCGGCCTAGCGCGGCTCGCGTTCCGCGCTCCACCGGGGCGGCAGGGAGTTAGAGAGGGTAAACCGCGCCTCGCACTTGCCTGGGACCGGGTGACCAATAACTGGTAATAGTCTTTGCTCGGCGCTGGGCCTTGTCCTACAATTTCGAACAGAGTCTCTGGCAGCCACGACGCCATCTTGGGACGCCACCGCCGTCGCTAAGACAACCAGGAAGGGGCGGGGCTTGATTGGGGTCATGGGGCCAAAGCCCTAGTTTCAATCGAACCCCGCTTTTGGGCTAGCAGGGGGTTTCTGCCTTGGGGTGATCGACCTCTCTCCCAAGAGTCAGAGGGAACTCTGGTCCGTGAAATTTCAACCCTCAGGCCCCGGTGACCCGAAAGGGAATTAGTTCCTGCTACCATGGAGGGGAGGGGGTGACCCCGGCGGAGGGATACCAAGCACAGCCTCACATTCCCCTTCCTGGTCCCTCGATCGGGAGGAGATCTCAGGCCGCTGGGAGAGAGTCGCTCGGGGCGGTGGGGGAGGGAGGGGCGATGTGATGGGCCGCGAGTAGGCAGCGGGGCCTTTCCCGCGGACGAGCTCGTCAGCCCGAGCCGGCGGGCAAAATAGTTCCCGGAGGGTGTTGGAACGGGCGGGGAGGGAGGCGGCGCGGGCGGAGGCGCACGCCGGTCGTGGTGCTGCGGCTCAGCTGATAATTGAAGGGAGCCGAGGAGCCGCCGCCGCCGCCGCCGCCGGGGGGGGG